CTGTGTGTGTGTGCATGCATACATTTTTGTGAGTGCGCTTCTCTGAGGTAGCCATTACAGTGTTCACAAGCGGGATAGACGGTAGAGTTTAGAGGGATGGAGACATCTTGCATATTCAACGCTCTGTCGCCTCGCTGTCATCGGCCAACTGAGCAGTGAGGAGATAGGGAACTAGTCAAATTACCGGCAGTGCTCGATTCTGTCTCTCGCACTGACAAGACTGTCAGAGATGGGATTTAATCTCTTAATAACGAACAGGGCTGGGTGAGATTTTTTTTCTCTCTCCCTCCTCCCCTCACTCTTTTTTCTTAAACCGTCTTCTGATCACATCTGGTCATGTCCACACATCACACGCATCTCCGAAAGACAAATATCCATGTCTGAATATCTTATATTCCCCACTCTCTTCCTCCGTATCTCTCGATCCCTCCATCTCCCCGTCTCTAATACAAGCTGTCGTGCTAGATCATGATTGATCAGGGCCTTAGTGGCCAACGCCAGTTCTCCCTCTCCCACTGCGGAAATGAATGGGGATCAGATGCGCTCCAGCTATGAAGTTGGATGCTGAGTTATTGGTGACACAAGCTAGAGAGGAAGAGATGAAATTGAGGAGGAGGCAGATGAAACGAGATGAACATCTACTCTGGGATGTATCTGCTCTAAGAAGTTTTGTGATTTCCGCGAGTACGAAACACTTGAATTCATAATTGCAAGTCTTCTTGTCTTGTGATATGAGAACAGCGCTTATGCTGGTATCACACACAACAAGCCAGCGTTGGGCACGGTGCGAAAACATCAAAAGTCAATGCAAAGACGTGGAGGGATGTGATTTCCTGCCAGGCGGCGCGCTGGACGAGCTGGATGCAAAGAGTGCAACCCTGCAAAAAAATCGTGTACAACGTTCCATTGCGTGAGTTGAAATTTTTCAGCTCTAGCGTGAAATCCGCGTAACGATGTGTCGCGATAGCCTATCAGCATTCAAACTGTCCCTACGTCACAGATGGTTTTTCAGAGAGTTGTGTGTAGAGGACAGGGTCTAACCCACATGATAAACCCAATGGGAATTAAAAATTTGCGTTGTGTGTGAAACTGGCGTTCCTACTGTCTCTCTGCATTTTATTTCTGTTAAACCTTAAACACTTAACCATTGCACTTGATGCAGATGTCCTTTAGGTAATGGTAATCAACTACAAAAGTATGCTTGTTATATATTTTGTCTGTTTTTTAAATAATGGATAACTGTTGTACTTGAACCACTACTATTTGCTGACAATAATGTGAAAGTAGGCAGGGTTATATTACTCAAGCTGTGTTTTTTCATTCTGGACACAACTACTTCTGTCACTTTTTGCATGTACAACCAATTGCAATTATCAATGTTATCAATGTTAGTTATCAATGATAAACACTGGCATCACATTTTATATCGGAAAAGCCAAGATAACACCATTTTGAATGATTAATCTGTTGCTTCTTTAAAGAAAACCAGCAGGGTAATAGGCCTACAACTTGGATTTTGGACTAGTTATTGTCCATATCAGGCAGGAGTTTGCTATATCATAGCTGTTTTATCATAAGCTGTTTTATAATTTAAATGTATATTATTATTATTATTATTGTTGTAAAAACTGTTTTGTATGTTTCCAGCCCCTACCTGCTGGCAGTGAACTCAGCATGTGATTGGTTCGATTGTTCCCAATGGTCCACACCTCTAACCCTCAGGGCTGGGGATGCCCCCCACCGCTCACACCGCATCCATTCCCACATGGCAGTCACAATGGCGACAGTTGTAACTCTGGTGATTAATGCCTCAGGAAATGAAAGTGTTGCCAGGGACGATGTAAGAAGCATTGTAACTTCCTGTGTTCAGCGGGGGCTGGAATGCTTTGGTGTCCGACATCAAGCCTTTAGCTAATTAGCTAAATCAGCTCGCTGGGGCTTAATTAGAAGCAGCTCGCAGACACACCCGTGTCCAGGGGCTCTTTAATTACCCTCAGGTTCGTTAGGAGAGAAGGGCCTTGAGCTCTAATTAACTGGCTCTGTGTGCTATAGGGGTGTGTGTGCTTTTGTTTTATGTGTATGAAAGTGTGTCTGTCACTCATGTAAAATTGAAAGACCCACAGGGTATGCTAATGCTGTGCTGTAAATATGGTGAACAGATCACAACTTTTCATTTAGACTGAGGAGGGCAGAGGATAGGAAATGTGGATATAAGAGAGAGAGTAGTGAAAGACAGGGCAGATAACTGGTTAAGAGCTTGTGATAGAGATATCTACAGTTAGTGAGTGACAGCTTTGTAGAGGAGTATAAAGGGGATGGAGAGGCAGAGTGAAGGAGTGTAACAGAGTGTGTGAGAGGAAGTGATGAAGATGGAAGGAGAAAGATGGTGCCAGTCTTGTGTAAAAAGGAGAAGTGTGTTATCTGTCCTCACATGGTAGTTGTCAGCCAGAGAGGCCAAATACCTTCATGTTGTCTCAGCATGGACAAGCAGCAGTAATTAGAGAGACAGGGTGATGGAGACACACTAACAGTACAGTGCAACATTAAACACACAGAGAGCTGCAAAAGCATCTGCACACATCCCTCTGTTTCTACTTGTGAAATATTCACTCCAAAACCCCAAAAGTCTATTCTTATCATACCTAAAAAAAAAAGGCTTGGAATTGCTTATCTTGTTGATAAAGAAAACCTACAGATAATTGCTTATCTTGTTAATAAGCAATTGCTGAATTCAGTATTTAAACCTATGTTTTTCCTTCTGTGACATGTCAAAATGGTCTACAGTTGTCGAGAATATAAATTACAGGCTAGCTAGACTTTTTCCAAACGTCATGGATTTGTTCAGTAATTTTCATCCATCCATCCATCGTCAACCGCTTATCCTGCATACAGGGTCGCGGGGGGGCTGGAGCCAATCCCAGCTGACATCGGGCACTAGGCGGGGTACACCCTGGACAGGTCGTGTTCAGTAATTTGACTTATATTATTTATTTGACTTAATAACTTGTAACTTATTTATTTGACTTAATAACTTGAATCTCTGTTGCTGTCAGTGTCTTGAGGATATGTTATGTGACTCCTATTAACTATGAATTCTACAGTGAGGTAGGTAACAAAATGGAAAATGCATGACTGGATTGGAAAGAAGTGGGAGGTTTGGGGGGGAAATCTGAGAGTTAAACACTTGATTTCTGGCATTCTGGGGAAATGTTTCTACACCAATATCAAATTATGGTAGAAATTTTTATATAGGGAAACATAACGTTCTGGCAGCAGGTGACAATAATAATGTATAATTAATATAACGGAATAATATGTACTAAGGATCTCAAGCATACTGTATTGCTTTCAAAATGCTCATATGGTAGTATCCCCTTCAGACTGTCTGTCTGACATAGAACCCTTTTTGGGACTGTATTGGATGAGACAAGTTTGATGCTCTTCATTGGACGTGGAAAATCGTAACTACTGAAAACACTTCATCAGAAATCAGGCCTTGATCAGGCATATATTTCACCACAAATTCACACAAATGTTGAAGGTTCAGTGTGTAAGTTTTGGGAACCATTTCCTCACAGTGCATTCACATGCTCCTCGGATGGTCCCATTTCCGTATAGACATGGACGCTACTACAAAGATGTGTTGGATTAGCATTATCAGAGCATATAAACAGCACCTAGACATCTAGCTCACTCTACATAGACAGCAAACTATATTATGGTTATAACCATAATACAATTATATGTTTGCAAAATATGGCTATGCAATACATGATTTTGCCCGAATCAAAGTTCTGCTTTATGTCTTTATGTACACTTTATTTTTCTTTTTGCAATAAAGATTTAAGGAGGAAAAGATTCTGATTATTCCGTCATCACATGAATCCACCGCTCACCCCTCCCTTTCCACGCGTGCAGGAGAAGCTACATTTGTTATACTTCTAATAAACCAGACTACTACTCCTACTATTACTACTACTACTTCTAACGTTATTTGTTCTTCTTTTTCATCGTACGTATTCAACGTAGTGACGAAACGCGCTCTGTAGAGCAGTCTGTCCATTCGGGCCACTGTAGAAAAGATGGCGCAGCAACATGGCGACGTCCATGTAAGAGGACCCGCGGTGTATGTAGATATAAATGGCTCACTCTAAGGAAATAAAAACATATCAGTTTATCATGTTAGGTCTTTATACACCACTTAAAACATAGTTATGTATATTATTTTGCATTCTGTCAATAGATCCTCCTAATAATTAGTGCAGCTCATAGCCGCTTCAGTGGAAAGCTTGCTAGAGAAATGACACACTCCCAAACAAAATTTAGGTGTCTCTGAGCGAGGAGGATGCAAAGGTAAGTCTAAATAACTGGACACTGTCAGAAAAAAAACAACACATACACATATGACTGAAAGCAACCTATTCTATTACGACTTTACTCTCCAAATCTCAGGTTACTATTAATTGTTTCTAACAGTGGCAATAATACTCAGTTGTTCTGCATTTTGGTTTATGTTATTCTCTCACTAATTTACAGCTGACTGTTAACTGTGTGCTAAATACATTGACTAGACACTAACTGTTATATTTAGATTTGTAAATAAAAATTATTGCTACGGTCAGTTCAGTTGTCGCTGGATATTGGTCGGGACAAGTACCTACGTAATCCTACGCTCTTGGTTTAACGGATTAACTGTGATACAACTGACCACAGCTGCCATCTTCTACAAAGGAACAAGATATACTTTTTGATAGTCAAAAGATAGATTTGCAGTTAAGTATTCTTTTTACAAGATGTCTGTGAAGGTCATCCAGGTCATAGTTATCCAACAAAGGTTGAGGTCAAGGGCAACTGGCTGAAGAAGTCTCTTGGATGAGGGATGAAATGTCTTTCTTCTACAAAATCCTGTTGCCCTTGACCTCAACCATCGTTGGATATTCTTTTTACAACAATTTCCAGTAGTGTATTTCAGAGCTGGCTGAGAACTTAGTCAAGCTTACTGTCATATTGTTGCCACACTGTTGGGTATGATGGTGTATCCATGTCTTTTCGTGCTCTTCAAAAAGTGCTGTGCCATACTGTGTCAGGCCTGGGTGAGACAAGCTTCGTATGGATTCATTGATTGACAAGATGACTGGAAGCTGCCAGGCTTGAAGCATTGAGTAGGCTCAGTCAATTTGTCCTTGGCTGACAGAGAGGACTGTGATGACACACAGAAAGAGCACACTATCAAAACACAGTGAATGTAATGGAGTAACACAGAGAGTGATAGGAATGCATACACGGTGAGGAGGTCAGAGGTTTGATACTGATGACGATAAAGTTAAAAGCAATGATTTTGATGTTGTTAGTAATGATGATATTGATGACGTTAATGTTAATGACAGTTGCTTTCTTAATGTCTTCCAGTGACATTGATTCAGTCATAGTGGTCCAATGATATCCACACAGTGAGGTATACTGAAAAGAGAGCACAGCTGAGGTATTGGGAGAAAAAAGGTTGGATCAACCCTTGACAAAGTTAATGCCGCTTATGGTGATGTTTGTGATCACGATGATATGTAGGTAATGGTGACGATTGCGTCAGTAGGACCATTGATAATGTTGGTGATAATGATAATCGTGGTAATGGTAACAGGGCTGATGATGATAGGTGATCATCTTAATGCCATTGATTTGGAGTTTGGTGGTGATGGTGGTTATGATGGCGGTAATGTTACCAATATGGTGATGAAGATGTTGGTGTTAATGACAGATGATGATGATTATGATGATGATAAAGTTAATGGCAATGATGGTGATACTTGATGATCATTATGCTACTGAAAATAATAATAACAGTCGCAGGGGTGGTGATGATAATGGTCATGAAGATGAATATAAATATGATGATGATGATCAAAACAAATGTGATTAAATTAAAGGGATAGTTTAGGATTTTTGAAGTGGAGCTCTATGAGGTACTATTCCATAATGATTGTCTTACGTGCAGTGGATGGTGGTCGGAGTGTCCCCAGTTTGGAGAAACAGAGATTTGTACCGGTCAAAAGCTAAGCAATGTCCTTCTGTGGACATGTCGGCAGCTAGAGGGTTTTAGCCACCTAAAACAAGGCTCACTATGTGTTTAATATTTTCTTTGCTTTACCCTTGCTATCAGACAGCCATGTCCTTTGGAACAACATTTTCTAAAACTTTGAACTTTGGGTCAGAAATGCTGTTACGAGATCATATTTGAAACAGAAACTTTAAAAGACAGTGTGTGCTTGTGTTTTTCCAGACTGTTCAAACACATGACGTGTCCTGGTCACCACATAGATTTCACCGTGATCCTTTGAATGATAGTGGGCTTTGAAAGATGTAGCTATAGATATATATATACTCGCACTGAATCTAGACATAAACCAACCAAGTCCTCCAACCTAAACAACAATATAGGGCGTTTGTCCATGCCTCACAAAACAACACATATGAGCGTTAACTACATTACATAAGTCACGTGACCTATGTCACATGACATTAAACATGTGGTTTACATTGTGAAACGGTTGCAGTTTGGTTAGATTTTGGAAACAAAAACAATTTGCTTAAGTTTGGGCAACAAAAAGGATTTGGCTAGGTATAGGAAAACGTTGAAGTAAGTAAATTACGGAAATCACACGACTGAAGTCAATAACACTATTTAAGTTAAAACTCAAAATTACTTTTTTTAAATTTTATTTATTTGGTTTCACATGGGAGGGTTTGACCCATCCAACCACCTTACACAGACTTTCTGCCTATTTATAAAACGTCACCCGACTTCTTCCTTTGCGACCGTTGTATGGCCACGAGTTGTTTCTGCCACAATAAATGTAAATATGCATCATATTAACCCCTCTCTGGCTCTTTATGCTCCGTTTAGTGTCCTTTTGCATAAGTCCTTCTTCTGTATACTCTTGTTGAAGAAGGTACCCCGTTGTCTCCACAGTAAACAACAATTAATCATCGCTGTCATAGTCACTCATTTAGATTTTCTTTCATTTGTTGTCTCTTCCATAAACTGCTGAAAGTCTGACCCAAACATATGATCAGCCAAGTAGCCAAAGGAAATGGCTGTGACTCAAGGTAAAGCGCTGAAAACATTAAACATATACAACACCTGAACTGAAGCTGATTTTTTTTTGGTGGGCCTTGTTTTAGGTGGCTAAAACACTTTTGATGACCCTGTCTATAGCAGTACGTTGCTTAGCTTCCGTGCCGGTTCAACTCTCTGCCTCTCTAAACTGGGGACACACCGACCGCTATCTACTGCAGTTAATTCACTGACGGATGGAGAAATACCTCATTCAGCCCCACTTCAAAAATCCTTAACTATCCCTTTAATGGCGAGGATTTGGAATTTAAGGGTCATGATCACATTAATGTTGATATTTATGTGATGAAGGTGTTGGACTTGATCAGTGTTGGGCAGTAGCGCCGCTACTTACTAGTTTAACTACATTTCTCAGTAGCTTGGTGGTAGCTTTTAAGTAATGAAGTAGCTTCATGCTACATTTTTACAAGCATTTCTGAAGGATCAGTAAGTATCACACACTGACCTGTATGTGCAGCCAGCTGAAGTGCTTCCGTGTGACGGTGACATCACATACCGATCCTTGGGCGGATGTCTGCGACTTTGTTTCAGGGGAATAAAGACACGTGCGATTGAGTTTACTTTCCATTGTGATAGTTATTGTAACACCTGTTGTGAGAAGGATCAGGATCCAGCCTGTACAGATCTTCCTCTAGTGAGCAGGAAACTTTGATATGTAGTGGCAGAAAGTTGTTTCCCTGAGATGAGATCTCTCTCTCTCTCGCTCGCTCTCTCTCACCCATTGCCATGAATGTTTAGGTTGTTTAGGTTGCAAAGTTGCCAAAGCACAAATTCACATATAAACAATAAAAAATATATAATTAATTAATAATGTGATAATCAAGTAACTTTATACAAACAACAATGTTCTCCGTTTGTTTCATGAGGAAATACATTTAGCTGCAATGATATGGCACTAAGTTCTCTCTCATCCACACACACTGTTTGGAGCAGGTTTTTAGTCTTTCTTCTATTGCTACTGTGGAATGAAGTTAGTTTGTGTGTGTGTGTGTGTGTGTGTGTGTGTGTGTGTGGGTGTATATATATGACCTATAAAATATTAAAAAATTAAAAGTAGCTTAAGCTTATAATGTAACTAGGCTACTTTTGCCATGCTGCTGTAGCTTAGCTTGCTATATTTCACTGGGGGAAGGCTTCTGTGTAGTGAAGCGTCATTTAATGTATAGTAGCTAGTAGCTTAGCTCACTACATTTTCCAAGTAGCTTGCCGAACACTGGACTTCATAACGACAATGATAAAGTTGTCAATAATGTTGATTCTTGTTGATAATGATGAAATGTGGATAATGTAGACTAATGTGGTGATGACGATAATGTGTTAAGTAATGTAGCCTAATGAGGATGAGTATGAATTTGATGATGATGATGATGATGATAACAGCAAAGACAGCAATGCTGATAAAGACTGACTTTCTGGTACCAGTACACCCATAACTACTCTTTGAAGACTAATAATTATATTTGATGGTAACACTATAAATTATACGCCTATTGTGTGATCTAAGAGATCCTTGGAGTGCAAGTGAACACACACACACACGCACACACACAGCGCACAGTTGCTGCCTGACAGTCCTCCCTCTCCTTCCGATTGTAGAGAGCGCACCTTCAGCCATTCATCAGTGTCACCCTGTCGCCGTCGGTTACGGCCTGGGGCCCGTCGCATCTTCATTACGGTCCGAATAAATCTGAAATAAAACCACAGATGATTTATTAGCTTCCGATGGCGTCGCGCTGGTTAGCATGGTCTGCCGCCACTCGGGTCTGGAGAGGCAGCCCTCAGACAAGAGCAGCAGAAATCTGATGTGACAGGGAGACGTTTGTGTGATGATATCAGACTGTGATCACACGTTCTTCCTGATGAGAGGAGGAGAGCATTCGGGAAACTGTCACACACCAGCAGCATTTATTTGCTGCATGTATGTATGATATTTTGTCAGTTAAGGGAAAAGCGCAGAGCATCTTTGCTTCAGTACGATTTTATGCAAAAGATGTCTTATAGAATTTTGTTTGGGAATAGCCAACCTGGTTTATTTCCTGTTGATGCTGGAAGTAATGCATTCATTAAACATTTCAACAAAGAAACATATAAAAAGGGGGAGCAAGGTTTTACTTGATAATACAGTAGGATCCTGAAGTGATGTTTCACGTAACTTTATCCATCAATCTGCATATAAATTAATAAACAAACCTCCAATGGAGATGCAAATTTGGAAATAGTTTTTGAATCTATGATGCTTCCTCACATAACTTCTCCGATTGCTCGCTGTCACATCCATTTAGCATGGCTTGCTAGTTTTTCTTCATTTTACGCTAGCAAAGACAACAACAGAAGCCTAGCCTGCTGATAGAGTGACAGGACCTGTAAAGGGTCAGACAGTACATTTTAGTACAAGTGATTATGTACTTAATTTAGAATCCCGACTCAGATCAAACATTTTTTCCCCATGCTTGAATAGTGGTTCAAATATTGAATAAAAATGACAGCCGTTTTGTTTGTGTGTGCGTTAGACAAGTAAAAATGAGTATCTGCAAAACACCAAACTACATTTCACACACATCACTTTATCTTTTTAACAGTCTTCATGATGCTCCACTTTATTATTTAAATGTGCATTTGAGTGATTCTGAGACAAAGCTGTTCTTAATTGCACCAAGCATCTTTTCACGTATTTTTTATTCTGCCTCACATTTTGAGATGGATGTCATATAATCTCTCTGTCCTTTATTATTGCTTCTGTCCAGCTATAGGAGTTAGTATTTAGACTGATATTTATGTTGTGCCCAGTGGAGCCTCTAACCCTGGATCCATCCCAAAATGGCCATTTCAGCTGAGGCCAGTCCAGATGACAGAGTTCCAGCTGACTCCAGGCCAGTTCAGCGGGGAGAGGAACAGCTGAGACCTGCAGGTGTCACATTGTCCTGGTTGTCACTAACCCAATTACACCTGGATCGCCAGGGACATGCTTGCTCCAGCAACATGAGAGCACAGACACACATTACCACACACAGGTAATACATACATACATATAATACATGTGCAGTGTGGGTAAAAGATGAGGTAAGT